TGATTGTGACTGTCTTTGACTGTGTGTGTGTATGTGTCTGTGTCTGTGTGACTCTGTGTGTGTGACTGTCTGACTGTAACTGTGTGTGAGTGACTGTGTGTGGGACTGTGTGCATCTGACTGTGTCTGACGGTCTTCGCCCTGCAGTGAGCCGGCAGCCAGGATACGATGTCATCGAGGCCTCGGCATCATTTCAGGGCGTGCGATGGACCTGTGCAGAAAGAGCACCGAGATTCCAGCAGCAACCACTGACCACCAGGGACTGAGGATCCACTCCAGCCCTTCTAGAGCAAGGTAGGGAGGCTGGGTGGACCTCTTAATTATTAAATGTGTGTATGTATGTAATGTTTGTGTGTGTCTGTGATTGTGTGTCTGTGATTGTATGTGTGTGGGTCAGTGATTGTGCTTGTGTATATCTGTGATTATGTGTGTGATTGTGTGTATCTCTGCGTATGTGTTTAGTAGATAGCTCCCTTATTTCCTGTCCTCAAATATTGCAATCCCACATAAAGATAACAAATAAGGGATTTATCTACTAAACAACTGAAAATAAGAAAAGGGCTTTTTTAATCCTGATCATTTGGCTGTTTAGTAGATAATTCCCTGAATTGGTGCCCGTATGTGAGATTTCCATATTTAAAGATACCAAATGAGGGTGCTGTTTAGCAGATAGCACCTTATTTGGTGTCCTTAAATATGGCAATCCCACAAAGGATAGCTAATAGAGGAGTTATCTGATAATCAAAGATTGAAATTAAGAGGTGTCAGCCAGCCCACAACAAGGAATCTGGGTGGCTAATGCGAATTATATGCAAATGTGTAGTCAGATGCCAGCATGCAGAACACAGCATGCTGGCATCAGACAGCCAATGGCAGCATATTACCCCATCCCTAGTGAAAAGTTGAACTGCTCACCCTCCCTCCCTGTTTTGACTGTGGTATCATATGTGCATCCCCCCATATATTGTTCCTAGAGTCACCACAATGTCTGCATGTGTGTCAATGTGTATCTGTGTGACTGTGTTTCTGTGTATCTGCATGTGTGTATATGAATCTGCATGTGTGTATGTCCGTGTATGTGTATATGTGAAGACATTTCAAAATCTCGCCAACACTACACACAAATACACTCATGCATTTCAACGTCAACACTACATACAAACCCCACCATTATATATAACCATACCACTGCATTCAAATACCACACAACACACAAATGCATGCTGGCACACATTTAAAGTTGAAGGGGGATAGCGGGGGGGGGAGGGTGCCAAAAATAGGACCCGCCCCAGGTGTCAAATGCTTTTGGTACGCCCCTGCCGCCATCTACCGGCCATCTATCCTCCATACCACAGGAAATCAACAAGATCCTTTCATACTCTTTATCCAAGCCAATCCGAATCTCCATTCAAAACCACTAGACTCATCTAGACTGAAAACAAACAAATAGCTATTCTAGTTTTGATAATACACGGATTAAACAGGAGGAATATGGAATGGTATCCAGGTCCCTAAGGTTTCTGTAATACTGTGTGAACAAGATAATCCACAAACCCTCAGTATGATATTGAAATATCAGACAGCAAGACCCAACAATATAGACCAGAGAGGCCTAACTTTACACTAATGGTGAGACGCCATTTTTGGCATCATCCGTTGTTTCTGAAGGCTCTCTCTTTGTTACCTTTCCTTCTTATATAGTCACTTTCTCTTCTTTTTTCATATGTCTCCTACCCCAAAGGGTGCTTGCAGAAGTTATGCCTGTATGTTATCGTTTGCATATTCAGTGCAGCATTCTGGGAAATTTGTGGAATTCTGATATCTTAAAAGTGCTGTTTCCATGACATTTTTTTCCCCATATTCTGTTGCTGTATATTTGAATTCATTTAGAAGAAAGTTTATGTTTTTTACAAAGATATAAATTCATTTTAATCTATCAGAATGTATCAAAGCCGTTTTCAGCTTTTCGTCAGTCTTTTCACTCCTTCCGAGTGTTTCTGACATTTAAGGGATATCGGCCCCAGTCTCTAATTATGTATAACACTACTTCCCCCGGCAGCTCAGGGTCCTTCTGATGAGCAGACATTAAATTATACATGAGCAAGCTTTGATAAGATCTGAACTGTATGTTGATGTCATTTTGCCCTGACACCTTTGGTATCCCTGTCACACAGACCCTCTGAAGCGTTTCGTGAATGATGTGTTTAACGGGACAGAACTAACCATCGTGAAATATTTATAGGGGCCACATGTCCATTTTATAAAGAATTCAGGCCGGAAGAAAACTTTGTCACCTTATAGGGACACTTTGTCTTGTGACATTTCTAGATTCCTTTTTCTGATAATACATTTCTGGCACTTCACTAATTTCTAAATGAAACAAATAGTATATGTTAATAGAATATACATGTACAGGTTACTGTGATTTATGGTAACATTTAATCTAAAATAGCCAAATTAGATAAATCCCCCAGTTCAACATGCTTTTTAGTGACTAGACCCCATAAATGTCAGTTAAAATGTAAATAGACACTCCTGATACCTAAAGCATTTTAGTTTACTGTATAAAGAGTGTGTCCTTTTTTTTTCATTTTAAAAAATGCAGATATCAATAGCAATTGGCACTTTTATAAATGAAACTCTGACTGTCAATCAGACAACCGGTCCAGCTACTTCCTGGTTTGTTTAGCTCAGTGGAGATAAACTCAAGAGGCAACAATTGCCCAGAGCACCTGCCTTGCAAAGACTTCTCATTGAGCTGCATTGGGAAGTCTGTGATTGGACAGACACAGAAAGTCTGGGCGGGTTTAGAAGGGGAGGTCTTGCAAAGGTTGCAGACAAGAGTTCTGCAAGCTTTGTTTTTAGATATACCCCCTGTGACGGACCACCTGGCACCGCAACGCTGAGCACCATAAGCCTGGCACCAGACCCCATGACCTGCCGCAGCTTAGTTGGGGTCTGCCGTCCCTTCCCGTCCTGGACCAAACTCCTGGATCCAGAGATTCAGTTGTGAAGCTCTTACAAGATCTAGTGATATAGCTGTGAAGCAGGTTTCCTACAAGCACGAGACCAGGCTATGTGTTGAGGGTTAAGCAGGAACTGAGCTCTAATGGTGCCACACTGGCCTTTTATGACAATCCCCAAGCAAGGTGTACGCCCACATGGACCTTGTTGGGGACAGGGACACAAACTTACAAACCAATGATAACATGTTTACAATGTATGACACTCACACATACAATACAATAAGCCTTCCCCTTTACTTAGGAGATAATTGAGTCAAGCACCATACTAAACTCAATTATCTCCAAACACAAAAAACACACATTTCTAAAAAGTCCAAAAAGTACCCCAAAACACATAGTATCCCCACATCTCACATCCCTTGATAGCCCTGATCTGTGTGTCCAACAGATCAGGGCTATGAGAGGTTCAGAAATTTAATGGAAGTAATATTTTTTACCGACCGCAGCCAGGGTCCCGTAGCTGAAAATAGTCCCATAGAATCGCGGCTACGTGCCGCTGGAGGATCGACCGGGAACCACAAGGTTTTCAGGCCGAAAATAGTTCCAGGGCATTCGCAGCTCAGTCCCGCTGAAGTCTATTCGCGGTTTTGGTCCTAAACAAGATGACTGCCGCCTTGTGGTCGAATGGCACTTCAAATGGCTTTGTGAGATTGGGAATTCGAAATGCCGCTTCGAAAGTTTAAATTGTGGCCATACAAGTACAAAAAGGCACACACAGCGGTTTTAACCAGGATTTAACACAGGGGCCATAGTCACAGGACAAGAGGCTGGCAAGTATGCCCCTCCAAGAACCCGTGATGAGGTCCAGTTCGTCACACCCCCAATCAAAAAAATTATAATTATTGCATGCTATTATTGGGGACATATCTACTAAACAGTTATTTGGGCAGTGGAGTGTCCCTTTAATGTATACACCTTTAGTGATGAAGAATTTCTAGAAACACAATTAAAAACCTGTCTATCAGTAATAATAATAATCTAGCAGAGTGTATGTGCTCTACCTGTTTTTCCAGTAAATGCCGTAGCCATATCTCTGTTCTGATTGCTGGCAGGGATACCAAATTATCTCCTTTTTTATGCTGACTGGCTGTAGTTGCCCCAGTAATGCAGGCTGCACATGCTATAACAGAGACTCTGTCGTGACTGGGTGTCTGAAGAAGGTTCTAAAGCCTCTCCCCATTTTCTGTCATCTGAGATAATGTGGAAGATTCAGTTCTCCCAACTGGGCTAATTTATCAGTGTTGGTGAGGGGGTTAGCTATTGGAACTTGGGAGAGGAGGGGCTGATAGATGACAATTTGACAGTAAGAAAAGTGCCTCTTAAATTGCACAAAACAACAATAAACTGTACAACACACTGCAAAAATAGAATACATGTTATAATACTGTTATAAAACAATCAGCAACTGAAGTTAAAATAACGCAATAAGCTGTAATGATTCAAAGAGATGTAATGATACAATAAACTATACTATTGCAACAAATGAATAAACTGCGACGATGCAATAAGCGGTACTAGTACAATAATCTGCAGTGGTTATGGTGTTTGGAGTGCCTCTATGCGGCTGCCCCGGTTGTTTATTAGTTGGTTGAGAGATACAAAGACCGTCAGGCTGGGTTGTAAGGTCCTGGTGTAAGTATACATCTCCCATAGTCAGATATTGCATTGCATGTTATATTACGCAAATGTTAACTTATTTCTAACCCCCATTATATATTGCATAGCTCACAGGGTTTGCTGGAGATTTATAAAATAATATTTATTCATATTGAATATGAATTTACTTCCCTGGAAACGGCCGTAAGACTGACAGCAAACCTAATATTTAAAACATAGTTTACAGGATCCAGATATATCTCCATGTGTACGAGACTTAAACAACGTTTTCTGTCCTCATGGAAAGAACAGAATGACACACTTTCACGAGACTCAATAGTTCAATAAGATAAATACAAGTCTTCTTTTTCCTTAATACTTATTCAGTTTTAAACAAAATCTTAAGGGGAGCGTTGCATACCCCATAAACATCACAGATAACTGTATTAGTAAACTCTGACCCTGGGAGGGACCGACCATTAAACATGTCACTGTCATTAGTACGCTGTGACCCTGGGAGGGACTGACCATTAAACATGTCACTGTCATTATTACGCTGTGACCCTGGGAGGGACCGACCATTAAACATGTCACTGTCATTAGTACACTGTGACCCTGGGAGGGACCGACCATTAAACATGTCACTGTCATTAGTATGCTGTGACCCTGGGAGGGACTGACCATTAAACATGTGACTGTCATTAGTACGCTGTGACCTTGGGAGGGACTGACCATTAGACATGTCACTGTCATTAGTATGCTGAGACCCTGGGAAGGACTGACCATTAAACATGTCACTGCCATTAGTACACTGTGACCTTGGGAGGGACTGACCATTAAACATGTCACTGTCATTAGTACTCTGTGACCCTGGAAGGGACTGACCATTAAACATGTCACTGTCATTAGTACGCTGTGACCCTGGGAGTGACCGACCATTAAACATGTCACTGTCATTAGTACACTGTGACCCTGGGAGGGACCGACCATTAAACATGTCACTGTCATTATTACACTGTGACCCTGGGAGGGACCGACCATTAAACATGTCACTGTCATTAGTACACTGTGACCCTGGGAGGGACCGACCATTAAACATGTCACTGTCATTAGTACACTGTGACCCTGGGAGGGACCGACCATTAAACATGTCACTGTCATTAGTACTCTGTGACCCTGGGAGGGACTGACCATTACACATGTCACTGTCATTATTACACTGTGACCCTGGGAAAGACTGATCATTAAACATGTGACTGTCATTAGTACGCTGTGACCCTGGGAGGGACTGACCATTAAACATGTCACTGTCATTAGTACACTGTGACCCTGGGAGGGACCGACCATTAAACATGTCACTATCATTAGTACACTGTGACCCTGGGAGGGACCAACCATTAAACATGTCACTGTCATTATTACACTGTGACTCTGGGAGGGACTGATCATTAAACATGTCACTGTCATTAGTACACTGTGACCCTGGGAGGGACTGACCATTAAACATGTCACTGTCATTAGTACACTGTGACCCTGGGAGGGACTGACCATTAAACATGTCACTGTCATTAGTACACTGTGACCCTGGGAGAGACCGACCATTAAACATGTCACTGCCATTAGTACACTGTGACCCTGGGAGGGACTGACCATTAAACATGTCACTGCCATTAGTACACTGTGACCCTGGGAGGGACTGACCATTAAACATGTCACTGTCATTAGTACACTGTGACCCTGGGAGGGACCGACCATTAAACATGTCACTGTCATTAGTACACTGTGACCCTGGGAGGGACTGACCATTAAACATGTCACTGCCATTAGTACACTGTGACCCTTGGAGGGACTGACCATTAAACATGTCACTGTCATTAGTACACTGTGACCCTGGGAGGGACTGACCATTAAACATGTCACTGTCATTAGTACACTGTGACCCTGGGAGGGACTGACACTTGTTATGTCTGTATTATCAGTGCAGCAATGATGTGGTGTTGTAAATGGTACTAAGTTAATTTACTTTTTATTTTCTTGCGGCTCCAAAAATGCACCTTTAATGCGTTTGCTACTCAAGTATTTGATTGGATAAGAAATTCAAAATAAACATTTTTTGTACAGAGTAAAAAAAGCTGAGAAAAGCTATAAGGGAAATTGCTTCTGTGTGCTAATATTTCCTGTGTAACTGTCTCTGTAAAGCCTGTTACTCAATAAAACGATGATATAAACCTTCCATCTGTTCCGTCTGCACATTCCTCTCCATCTGGGGATTTTATAGCCTCGCTTTTTTAATATATTTTTCGATATTCTATGAGAATTTGTTGAAAATGTGCTCATTTTTGCATTCTGAATGCATTATTGATTTTTTGTATATTTTGTTGTTGATTACAGTTAGAGAGTTTATGGATGAACATGATTCAGTGTCGGAGACAACGATGTGACCTAATGACAGGGACATGTTTAATGGGTTAAAGGGACAGTCCCATGTAGGAACAAAGTGACCTAATGACAGCGACACATTTAATGGGTTAAAGGGACAGTCAGGAGCAATAGTAAGTTAAACAGGCTTTAAAGATACCTAATGTAGAGCATTAAACCACAATGTATTTGTAGAATTTTAGTGCATAAGTTCCAGAGTTTCAGTAGTCCTAGCAGATGGAAACAGCTACTTTGGATCTTAACTAAAAATCCAAAATTCCTATGGAGTTTATTGCTGTTCCTCAAAGTATTAATGTTCATGTTTTTCTGTGAACACCCCAAAGACACACATTGTGAAGCATGATGCTATTAAGTGTTAGGAACTAAAGCGACAATTAGCAACGCGCTATAGAAGAGACTTGTCACGGACACATCTCCAAGAACCGGTGGGCTACAAAATAATAAAAGGAATGGAACATATCAGCTATGAAGAAAGGTTAACAAATTTAAACCTATTTAGTTTAGAATAATTTCAACTGAGAGAGGATATGATAACATTTTACAAATATATTCGAGGCCAATACAAACCATTGTGTGGAAATCTATTCACAAACCGGACTTTACATAGGACACAAGGTTGTGCGTTTAGACTTGAAGAAAGAAGATTTCGTCTAAGGCAAAATATTTTTTTTTTTTTTTTACTGTAAGATCAATCGGGATGTGGAATTCTCTGCCTGAAGAAGTGGTTTTATCAGAGTCCATACAGATGTTCAAACGGCTACTAGATGCATACTTGCAAAAACAGAATATTCAAGGATATAATCTTTCAATGTAGGGTAATAACTGCTTGATCCAAGGATAAATCTGACTGCCATTCTGGGGTCAAGAAGGAATTTTTTTCCTAGCTTGTTGCAAAATTGTGCTTCAAACTGGTTTTTTTGCCTTCTTTTGGATCAACAGCAAAAAACAAATGTGAGGAAGGCTGAACTTGATGGACGCAAGTCTCTTTTCAGCTATGTAACTATGTAACGATGTAACAGATGGAAGACAGATTTAGTCTAGTCTGGGTGATTATGAAAGAAACATAACTAGACTAGTGAGATTTGAAAAATCCAAGACTTGCTCTCTCAGCTCAGAGAACACTCTGTACAAATCCTACAAAATGTGTCTTTATCTTAGAAAACAATTTTTCTTCTTTTACTAACTTCGGACTATAAAATCGTCGGCAATGGAGACATTTTGCATGCCTTAGAATAACCCTTTTTTACCCTTCTTTTCAAATAGTTTTTATTGAAAGATTTAACATTTTTACAATAAAATGAACAATCAATATGAAATAAGTAAAACAGTGATATAACAAACAAACCGGGGTATAATGTAATATATAATTATCTGAAAGTAGTAAATTATTAATAAATCAAATGTAGAGTAATATGGTACAAAATATCACAATGTATATTTAACATTTTAGTCATGTGGAGTCAAACATTTAAGGTGTTCTTCTGTCTGATGTCTTTTTCTTTGATATCCCATTCATATCTAAGAAGGTTAAGGGCATGGGACAGTAACCTAAGCACAATTTCACATCTTATATTTTTAAACAGATGGTTAATAACTTCCTTAATATCCGGAACTCAGGAGACTTCCAGTGACGTGGAAGAGCCATAGTGGCTGAAATTAGAATATGGCCTCAGATCATGCGTTTATTAGTGATGTCCCGAATGGTTCGCAGAACGCTTCGCCGAACGGTTCGCTACGGATGGCGAACATATGCGCTGTTCGGTCCGCCCCCTATGTCATCATTGAGTAAACTTTGACCCTGTACCTCACAGTCAGCAGACACATTCCAGCCAATCAGCAGCAGACCCTCCCTCCCAGACCCTTCCACCTCCTGGACAGCATCCATTTTACATTCATTGTGAAGCTGCATTCCTAGTGAGCTGTCCAGGATGACATAGGGGCGGACTGAACAGCGCATATATTCGCCATCCGTGGCAAACCATTTGGCGAACCGTTCGGGACATCACTAGCGTTTATGTTTAGGTAAATTATCAGGCTCAAGCATAGTTCAGGTGTTAATGTTATTATGGAATGATCAATAAGTGTAATCAAAATAAGAATGTCATCCCAGTAAGACTTCAGTTAGGGGCATGTCCACAGCGCATGGCATAAGGAACCCACCTGACCACACTCTCTCCAACATTTTTTGGTAGGTGACAATTGTAGCTTATAGATCGTGGAGGGAGGGAAATACCATCTGTGTATAATCCTGTAGTGGAATTCCAAATGTGACAAACACTGTGTAATGCCCCTTAAAGCTGATGTAAAATCTAACCATTCATTCAGCCCGTATTCCCTACCTAATTCACTTGCCCATTTAGACATCGATTCAAACGTTTGGGTCACCAATCCAGCCAACAAACCATAGCACATGGAAATTGTCTGTTTCCAAGCAGGATCCAGAAAATAGATAGATGAGAGACATGTTTCGTGTTTAATCACTCTGGCCCTGTCCGGACAAACCTTTTTTACCCTTCTTGAGGTTAAAATTATTTATTTTGAAAAACGGAATGAATCGAGATACAACATGTATAAATTACTGTGAAGGCGTAGCAAGAAAAGCAACAATTAATGGTAATGAAAAATATACAATACAAAACAATTCAATGTGGTATTCCTTATATAAAATCACCTTAAAAATAAAGTGAATGGACTCCAGGAGCTGGCTAGTGACTGATGGCCGAATGTGTGATAAAACCTAATAGGTATTAAAACAGTGAAAAGTGGAAAATACAAAAAGGATAGAGAAAAGAAAGTGAATAAGATATGGGACAATCAAGAACAGAAATCCAATAAATGAAGTAAAAGGAAGAAAATAATGTGTACTGTACCTTTAAAGTGTAGTGATGGATAATACAAAGTATGTGAAGAAAAGTGAGAAATAAGGTTGTAATATAGGTAAAGGATAAAGAGACCTGGACAACTACAAATAAATATAAATGAAAATGGAGATGGAAATAAAAATATAGATAAAAGTGACCACAAAGGTGAAAATAGAAATACAGATAAACCGCAAAAACAAATTCCTTGAAGGCAAATGTGCAACTCAGGTACCTCAATCCCCAACAGAAATGAGGGGTAGATGGTATCTGTTTCAGATTAATATACTTTGTATTGGCAAAGACCACAAAAAATAAAAAGTAGCAAAATCAAATTGTCAAGCGTTACAGTATATTGAACTGTAAGCTTAGATACAATAATAAAGCTTAGTATAATAATGAGCTGAAGCAACGTAACACTGAATGAGTTAGCAAAAACAGTCCAGTTTATTCAACATAAAAATATATATAAAAAATATAAAAATCACGAAATATATGTAAAAGAATGTTCATGGATGCATTACCAGGCTTATATGTGTCACAAATCAGCAAGGACCTTCGGATTACCGGAGTATGGATCTGGATATTCTTTGGAAGTTTTGTTGATGTTATTCTGGCTGCCGGTGAGGACGGTGTGTTGCTGAGCGCATGCTCCGAACAAGAGCCTCACTCTCGGTATCGTGCAGAACAGACGGTGTTCCCAAAGGTCCTGCTTGAAAGGTGGAACTGCCGCTGGTAGATGCAATCAGAATCTTCCTTTGGAGAATTGCCTAACGCGTTTCGTAGGGGATGTGCCCTACTTCATCAGAGGCATGCTAACATCCATTGCTTCAGACATGTCTTAAATACCCACAGGGTCAATTATCAATCAAACAATAAAAATAATACAGTAATCATACATTGTGAAGTAATCTACAAAAAATAAGAAAATACAATAAAGGATAAACATGGTACAATAAATCAAAGTATAATTTGATACAATTACTTAAAACATTCATGTTTGTAGTTTATGTAAAATCATAATCTAATGATGTGAGTTTGAATTACATATCGAAAAAAGAAGAATGTATCAAAGGAGGTATTGAAGAACAAAAATATGTATATATCTCCCACAGCATTTGAATACATTTATTGCATTTCTATTCTTGATTGTCCCATATCTTATTCACTCTCTTTTCTCTATCCTTTTTGTATTTTCCACTTTTCACTGTTTTAATACCTATTAGGTTTTATCACACATTCGGCCATCAGTCACTAGCTAACTCGGGGAGTCTATTCACTTTATTTTTAAGGTGATTTTATATCTGTTTTCTCTATAGGTTTTTGGTGAATCCCTATATTCTCCTAGTTTGAGCAGTCTAGTGCTAGTCTGTCTCCCTCTTTCCTGTGTGTTACTCTAGGTATACCAGAAAAGCTCCTTTAGAGGTATTCCTTATATTCGAAAATAATTTTGAAATATACAGTAGGTATAAAATAAATAAATAGAATGGTCAAATCCCCTGTCATGCATTCCATAAATGCTCCCATTTTGTAAAATAATGTGTTCATATCCCATCATATAATGAATACAGTCCCATGGGTAAAAACAGGCATCTTTGAAAGACTGGTCCATGCCCCA